ATCTCCAAATGTGAGAGCCATTCCATGGTGGCACCATCTAGTGGCGGCCTTTCTACCAAATTTGGAAGCTTGAATCAATTTTTAATTCAAGCTCTCGTCCGATGCTAAGTATTGCCCTCGATTTAATTTTTCCAGCCAAATTGATACTCAAGGGATCTTTTACATGCCCCATAATCGTTTGACACGCTTGCCTACAGTTTTAACATCGACACCAGCCAGGATCGAACCCGTAACCTTAGGCTTCCGAAGCAGACACCCTACCTTCAAACCACTGGAGTCGACAGAGAAAAAGATGTTCAAATTAAAATAAAAGATATTAAAAGAGTCTTATTCTCACATTAGAGAGTAAATTGTTTTAATTTTGTGATACCCTTAGAGAGATATATTATTTATTTAAATAAATTCAACACACATATATATAATAAAATATTTTTATCATGTGTTGATTTTCTCAAAAATTTGGATAATTAATTTGCTACTAATATAAATTTTAAAAGAAAAGGACAGTGAGTCTAAGATGGTCTGGTTGTTGTTGTTTTTGTTACTCATGCCATTTTTCGGCAAAGGCCAGATCGAAGACCACGAAATTCCTCATGGCAAAGGGCTAAGTAACGCCTGTCGTTAGCCGTAGCTTTGTACACCAAACAGGTGACTACGATTTGGCCCATTTCCATCCCAATTTTGAGAAAGGACACCTGGGGATGGTCAGGGGCCTCTCACCTCTCTTCCCCTTCTACCAACTACAGGAGAGGACTTGCGGCTCAACGGCTATTTATAGTACCTCCACGCCGCGAAGGCACTATACATTTACCCCAGGCCCTACGACACAACAGTCAGCGTTGCTACCCATTATACCGGATGGGTGACAAGATGGTCTAGTAAAAGAGTTGTACATTTCATAGTCTACGGCAGTGGTTCTTAAACTTTCGAATCTAATTTTCTTTATGCTGATTACTTTTTTTATATTTAAAACTATCATTTTTATACATGGAGTATAACGTGCACCTATAAATTTAGGTCTTAGTTTTCACACACACACACAATTCCTACTATTAGATCCCACTCTCTATATATTTATTTATCTTCGTGGAATTTTCAATCGTTAAAAAAATACATTTTAAAGTGCTCCATTGAGCTGAAATTTTATATACATGATTATATTGGATGGCACTAGAATAATTTAATTATAATTAATAAAAATTAATTGATTAAAACTAATTATTTAAAGAATTACAAATACACAGCCACGTTGGCATCATTTTTGGAGACTTAGCGACCCTTTTGGCGACTTGTGTCAAAACTTGAAAAGATTTTTTTCTCACGTTTTAAAGAATTCAGTTGAACTGAAATTTTATAGACACAATTGTTTTGGATGACAATACGATACTTTAATGATAATTAATAAAAATTAATGACCACTTAATGTTGTGGTTCTGTCCTATGTATATACATATTTATATGAATTGTTACTATTTAATAAAAAGCTATAATAAAAATTTTCTTTGTTGATCTAAGAAGGAATTGAGACTTAAATTTTTTTTTATATTACTTGTTTTATATTTAAAACTATCATTTTTATACTTGGCGTATAACACGCATCTGTAAATTTAGGTCTTATTTTTTGTGTTAAAAGTGCGCGTTATACGCCGGGTTTCACGGTAATTTTACCTGTAAATCATCTAATGGCGTGTTGTTTCTTAGAATTCTGCATATAAAATACCTACCCAAAGGCTTCATTTAATCACAACTACGAAATATCCGTCATCGTTATTCAAAAGTACGTTTCTAGTGTAACTTGAATTTATCTTTTTGAGCCATCACAATCATTTCGTGCAAACTAAACTGACTACATTCGGAACCGTGATGTTGGAAATTCGTATAAATGAATTTTTTGATATTTAATGCCATTTGAATTAGATAATATGTATATAAAACTCTCTTAAGAATATTATTACAAGAAAGAACGTAATTTTTATGCAATTTTTTGGCAAAAAAGGAAGAAAGAATGACATATTTTCGAAACATTGTCCTATAATGTGGGAAGTGCTTCTGTTTTAATAATGTTTGGTATATACGTATACATAGCGATAACTTCTATGCAAGGGATAAACTAAAATTTTGGGAAAATTCGCATTATTTTCAGAGTTACGATCAATTGAAATAATAACCAACGTTTTTTTTTGTTTTTTTTTTTGTTAGAGTTTCTCAATTCTGATGTAATAAAATATGAATAAATCCCTCTCTAAATTATATACAGTCGAACCTCTATATAAAGAATCTCTATATTGCGAATTTTTCTATGTAGCGAAATTTTGCCTGGAACCTTGAACATTTCACGACTTTCTTCGTAAAATAACCTCTCTATAACGAAGTGCATTTTCTATATAGTGAACTTTTACTTTTGTGATTCATTTTTTGTTCTCCCTTTTTTAAAGTATTTTTGAAAAAAATTTCAAGTTATTCTCTCTTTAATACATTTTATGGTGGTCATAAATCTTGAACTGGTTTTATTAGATCCTAACTCGCCGAGAGAAATAGAGTTCTGGACGTTTCATCCAAGAAGTGCAACCTTGAACCCTCATTGCTTAGTTCACTAGAAACATCTTCGATATCCTCTTTCACCCTCAGTGGAGTTGTCCCGTGTCCCCGTGTTCTAATTATAAAATAATGAATGTTTAGTATTACTTGTATGCTTTAAATTATTAAATGTCCTTAATATTCCTTAATTTCAGTATAAACCTATTTTCTTAATATATAAATACAGTGAATTCTTCGACATTCTTTTTTTCTTGTTTTCCTTGCAGTTTTTCTTTCTTTCTTTTTTGATGGGTAAGATATATAAAATAAACATAAATTAGTTTTTAAAAAAAAGTGTGAATAATTACTTTTTTTAATATATAGTGCTTAAGAATTTAAAATTTGTTTCATGTTGCTTTAAAGTGTATTAAAAGATGAACCTCTAATAGCGAATTTTCAGTATAACGAACTTTTTTCTGGGATTTAGCGACTTCGTTATATAGAGGTCCGATTGTATTTCAAAAAACCCAGTTCAAACTCTATTTAGAAGTCCTCGCTATATATCATTACTATAGAAGCAATTTTTTTAAAAAGAAGATTTTTAATGTGTGTTATTCTTTTTTCATTGTTTACCAAAAGAACTACATTTAAATATTTTTTTCTCGTAATAATATTCCAAAAACAATTGTTTATTTATATTTTAATGCAACTGACACTAAAAATTTTTAAGAATATTTATTTTTATGCGCTTTTTCTAAAAAATCACGGTTTTGAACCTAGTCAGTCACCTTAAGATAAAGAAAAAGAAAAGCAGTAAGAAATTCTAAAGATGCATAATTTGTGATTCACAATGATCGTGTAATATGCAATTCGTTACACTACCCTTACTTCATTTTATAAAAATGATAGATGTTACTTTAATAATTTCTAAATCCAAATTACTACTTTAGTAATGACCCTTCTTCCCAGTCACGAAATCACAAAGAAAAATCAATAATTAGAAAAAGAAAACTATATTTTATTCCTACATTTCATAATTTGATTGAAATTTGTTCTTTTATCTCAATCTGTATTACACCTTCTTTACCCTCATAATAAGTTACTACAGTAAAGTCATGTTCCTTAATGGCATACTACGCGACGGCTACCTCCTTATATTGTAATCCATATTTACACTGTAACCTTTCTTATGCCCCTACGATGGTTATTTCACTCTAACCTCTGCTCTTTATTACAGAGTAAAGAGAGAATTAGCGAGGAAAAAAAGCAAAGATAGAAAGAAAGATATTCCAAAAGAGCTTCCGGCCAACAACTCACCTCTCATGACTCCGATAACTCAAAAACAGCCCTTCAGGACATCTATACCATCCTTAAACCATTATTAAATGTTATTAAGTAAAATAAGCAAGGCTATGGGCCCTGATCGACACCTAATCAGCACCCCACGAGTACTCAACATTGGCTTTAAAAAAAAACTCGCCAATCAGACACCTGATCCATCAAACAAAGGGAGGGACCTAATTGGTGGAGCGACAGTTGGCTGTTATAATAAGCTCGCCAGCTATCTGATATCACGACGAAAATTGCAGCCAATTTAGGAATCGTCAACCCAAATGAATCAGATGCCAAGCATTTAAGCTCGGATATCCTTACTACTTAGTGATGGTTTTATTTTTTGTGCTGGGAATTTTGTCGAGGGGATTATGATGATTATTAACTGGTGTCCTGTGTGAGAGATGAAGTAAGTGATTTGACCCATTGGAGGAAATACCTTGTCGTGTTTTTGCTTTTTTATCAGAGGACCATCTTTGGTAAGATTAATGGAATACTCACATGCAGTAGGGATTGCAATTATATAACGTATCATCTTCACCCACATTTTTTTTATTTTATTCTATAATCATTACTTCTAATACAAAATTATTGTCAAGTCTTGTAATGATGGAAGCTTGGAGTTATTTGTAGATTAAGAGCTCTGATTAATTTCATAAAATGCGTAATTAGATTTTTAGTATAATAATGAGTTATTTGAAAATTTGCATACGTAATAAGTTTTAATTTGGATCCTTTGAAGACATGTTTATGATAATTAATCAAATATACAGTGGAATACGTTTAACACGAAAACTCTTAAGACGAAATATTGGTTAAAACGAAATTCGAAATAATACAAACTACTGTGGATTTTCATGTGCGGGTTTTTTTTTTTTTCAATTCCTATATTACTTACTATTAGTTCGCACTCTTTCCCTATATATTTATATATATATATCTTGTTCAAATTTCCAATCGTTAATAAAATACTTTCTATTCATCCATTCAAGGTCAAATACGTTTTTTTAAACTTGTAGTGAATGACATTTGATGTTAATGTGCAGTCTTTTTCAAATTTTAATTCATTAATTAAATTAAAAAATGAATGAATAGTAACAAACAAGAATAATAGTCCAACAGCATATATAGAAAAGAAAATTGTTCGCTGTGTCTCTGTAGCTCAATGGGTAGAGCGTTGGACTTCTCATCCAAAGGTCGTGGGTTCTAATTCCACCTGTGATGGACTAATTTCTGAGAATGTGATTTCTTTTTTACTATACTGCTTTATTAGAATAATTAAATTTAATTAATGAATAAATAGTAACAAACAAAAATAGTCCAGCACCATATATAGAAATGAAAATGGCAAGAAAAATTGCTTTCTATTTTGTTATTTAATATTGTGATTCTGTCATAGTATCGAATGCGCGCCTGCTCCCGAGTTAAGAAGGGTACGTACTTGGCTTCAGTCAGGCTTTGAATCCCCTAGAATCCTGCCCCCCCCCCCTTCAGGGATGCGGTAGTTGTGAGGGTGTACGTAACGCCTCTGCACAAATTAAGATGAAGAAAGCTTTTTTTAATAAGATTCCATTGTGTGTGTGTTCTTCATTTATTTACTCATTAGCAATTACCAGCTCGCTTCGATGGGGTTTTCATTTTATTGTATAACTATATATTGTTTTTTTTATTCAAGTTCCATCATTAAGCTTTTGAAATTGAAACTTAAGCCGAGTTGAAAAAAAAATTAATTTTTGAATATTTCTCCTTTGATTTAAAAAAAAAAAATGTAGGATTTTAATTCACAAAATGGAATATTCATCTTTTACACATCCTCGTAGTCCCCCTCCCCCCGCATTTCGGAGTCGATTTCTGCAAACTCATTTTTAGTGAACTTCTATTCAGATGTCAAGTTATAGGTCTAATAAATGAATAACGATAGCTTTTTTAATCTATAATCCCTCCCCTCTTCTTGGAAGGTCATTTCGACAAAACATGTTCTTACAAAATCTCTTCTCAAGACCAGAAAGATGTTTGCAAAATTCCAAGTACGTTGATCTAATAGTTAAAAAACGGTATTTTTTTTTATTTATAACATCCCCTGTAACCTCCTTTGGAATTCGATTTTCACAAGTCCCTTTCTTACCATGTGTTTACTCAAAAAAGGAAATATGTTTTCCCAATTTTAAATCTGTAAGTATAAAAGTTCAAAAACGGAAAATAGTGTCCACAAAGCCCTCGCAACTGCCTTGGAGTCGATTTTTGAAAATCCGTTATTAGTGGATCTCTACTTAATAAAAGAAGCATGTTTTCCAAATTTCAAGTTTGTTAGTTCATAGTTCAGAAATGGGATTTTTTTTTATTTGTAACACCTTGGTATCCACCCCTTCGAAAGAAAATTTTCGGAAAAGGCTTTTTTAGCGGATCTCTACTCAAGAAAAGAAACATGTTTTCCAAATTTCAAGTCAGTCAGTGTAATAGTTCAAAAATGGGGTTGTTCGTTTGGAAGTCGCGTTTCATTAAAAACGGAGTTTTGATCAACAAAAGAAACATACCTGCCGAATTTAAAATTTGTATGTCTAATAGTTCCGGAGATGTCTTAATGAGAAAGGGAATCGCTTTCTTCTAAATGAAAAGAAAGTAATTTTTATTGCAAATAAATTACGTTATTTTTAAATAAAGTTAATGTTTGTGTAGAAAATGTTTTTCTAATAAATGATTCGCAATTATGTCATTTATAGCAGAGTGGTTATGTGGAAACGTATGTAAAGAAATAGCAGCCTCCAATCTAGATAAGTTCATAACAATATCGATAGCTAAGTTTTTAACTGCGTTCCTTGGCAGTTAACTGAATTTCCTTGGCATCATTCCCTACATTTGAATTTTAAGATTAAAATGCTCCACTCATAGTTTTTTTTCCCCAAAAAAGAAAATACAGTCGAACCTCAATGTAACGAACCTCTATATCACGAATTTTTCTATACAGGAATTTTGCCTGGAACTAAGAACATTTCACGATTTTCTTCGCAAAATAACCTCTATATAGTGAAGTGCATTTTCTATATAAAGAACTTTTTCTCTCTTTTATTTATAGTATTTCTGGATATTTCAAGTTATTCTCTCTTTTAACATATTTTATGGAGGTCATAAATCTTGAACTGGTTTTATTAGATACCTAAAACTCGACGACAGGAATAGAATTCTGGGCGTTTCATCCAAGAAGTGCACCCTTTTCGGGGTTTATGACCGGCAGAGAGTATGTTAAAAGAGAGAATAGCTTGAAATACCACGGAATGTGGAGTTTTCACGTGTCCCCGTGTTCTTGAACTAGTCTCCGTTCATTTGTAGTGTTGATCAGTCATACTGGTAACTTCGTTTCTTGTAGCTCAAAAGTGTCAAAACGTAAGTGCTTGAGCATAAAAAAAACAATTTAAATCTTCAGGAATTGGGTAAAGGCGTCAAGAAACTTTCCTTGCAGTTTTTCTTTCTTTCTTTTCTTTTTTTGATAGGTAAAATACAAAAATAAATATAAATTAAGTTACATAAAGGTGTGAATAATTACTTTTTTTTAAAAATATATGTAATGTTTATGAATTTAAAATTTGTTTTATGTGGTTTATCAAGTAAATTGAAAAATCTACCTCTATATAACGAACTTTTTTTGAGGATTTAGTGACTTCGTTATATAGAGGTTCGACTGTATTTGAAACCTTCAAAACATTCCCATGCACATGTTACGTTATCATTCCCCAGAAGTTTTCCTTTGGAATTTCGGTTGAGATTTTATGTAGGTCACTTCATTCTGGAGTCGATCGAGACGTCTATATGAAACTCTTATCCTGTACCAATGCACATTGTTTTCCAGATAAAATATTTGCAAAGGGTAGCAGATGGGTTATGGAAATCTTGATTCCTTGTAAGGAAACAATGTTTGTAATTCTATAAATTCCAATGTATCAAGTAACTTAAAAGAATTTCTTCTTTGTTGTCGACTGAACAGCGTTTGGAATAATTGTATCGGGTCATTCCAACAACAGGGACAGCCGTTGGTCCATCCAAATTGAACTTCTTCCCATCTATGAACATAATATCCATACACGTTTTGCACAAAGCGTATATTTTTTATTCAGGGCGGCATATGCATCTTGGAGTAGATCAATGCTCCGCATTCTAGGATAAACACTATGCTTGTATAATTTGGAGAACAAAATGGAATTGGACTCACAGATGGCGACTGAACAGAAAATTGGACACTTTGATTTATTTTGTAATAAAGATACTGTTAAAAAAAACAAGTAATATAAAAAAAAAAATATTAACGTCAATTCCTACTTAGTTGGAAAGACGTATTGGCGCCATCTGTTGCCTCCAGCTGTGAATAAAGAATAAATTTTAAATTAAAGAATAGAATTTAATTAATGAATTAATATATTAGAAAAAAACTGTATTAACATCAAGTGGCATCCACTACAAGTTTTAAAAAATGTATTTGAACTTGAGAGGATGAATAGAAAGTATTTTATTAACGATTGAAAATTTGAACAATATATATATAGAGATAGGGAGAGAGTGAACTAATAAAAGAAATTGAAAAACATTTATCTTGCTTTGCAGCATTTCTTGAGTTAAAGGAAAAAGTTGCTTTTTTTTCTTTAAATCAACATGCTATTTTTTGTCTAAGTTACATAAATACCAGCTGAAATATTCGTACTTCGCACGGATAAATTGAAAAATAAAACAACAGAGAATAAGAGATAAGGAAATTTTTATGAGTAAGTCTTAAGTGAATTGCAAACTAAAGAAAAAAAAAGGTCTGTATCTCTGCCCAACAAAAAAAGGTCGTAGGTCTAATAAATTTAAAAAAAAGATTTGGTTTATCTATAATGCCCCCTTTGTGACCCCTTTGTGAGTCGACTATCGAAAACCTCTTTCTTTAGCTGCTCTGCTCAGCAAAAGTAACATGTTTTACAAGTTTAAAGTTCGTAAGGGTTTAGTAGTTCATAAAAGGCAATTTTTTTATAAATAAAGCACCCTCGTGAAACCCCCTTAGGTCTCCATTTTTGCAAAACCCTTTTTGGGTGGATCTTTACTTCATGAAAGGAACGTGCCTACTAAATTTCAAGTCAGCTTCCCATAAGGTATAGTGGTTAGTGACACAGACTGCGGTGCCGCAGATCCTGGGTTTGAATCCTAGAAAAGGCATGGATGTTTGTAAATGTATAGTGCCTTCGTGGTATGGTGGTACTCTAAATAGCCGTCGAGCCATTAGTCCTCTCGGGAGGTTGGGGGAATGGGAAGAGAGGTTGGAGGCCCCCGAGCACCCCCCCCCAAAAGAAGTTCTTCCTCAAAATTGGGGGGGAACCGAGCCAAATCGTACATTCATATGCATGATGCTTATAGCTAAGGCTAATGACAGGCGTAAAAATGTAGTATTTAGTCGCGATGAATCCTGTGGACCTTGATCTGATGTTACTGTTGATCAGGTGGCATAAGCAACAACAGCAACAAATTTCTTGTATGTAGGTCTAAAAGTTCAACAATGGAGCTATATTTTATCTATAACGCACCTTTAACCCTTCTCAAGCCCCCGTGGTTCAATTTTCGTGAAAACCTTTTTTTGTAGTGGCTCTCTCCTCTCCATGAAGGGCTGCTGTAGCCCAGTAGTCAAGGTACCGGATCACATGGCCATCATGTCATGAGTTTGAGCCCAGTACCACTTAAGACCCGCCATGTAGGGCAACAATGCACGTTAAATCTGTCGAGAGCTGAAACGTCCTCCCGTTGGTGTGGTATGGTAGTTAGGAGAGAGGGATGCCAGCCCAGGTGTCGTCCACGTCACTTGACCATGGTTCAAAATGACGTGGTCCGTCGCCAAAAGCCCTCGTGTAGCTGAACAGTGCGACGTTAATATATTCACTCACTCACTCACTCTCCATAATAGGAACATATCTGCCAAATTTCAAATCTCTGTAGGCTTAGTAGTTAAAAATGTGAATATTTATCTACAATGGCACAAAACCCCTTGGGTGTCGCTTTTCGTAAAGCCCTTTCTTAGAGAAATATGCCAACCAAATTCCAAGTCTCTTGGTCTTATAGTTCCGGAGATATCATGAGGAATGAATGAATGAATGAATGAGTGAGTCGCTTTTCTCCTTAATACTTACCGTAAAATCCGGCGTAACTTTATCACCAAAAATGAGGTCGAAGTTTACTCGTGCTCGTTACACGCCGAGTATAAAAATGAT